AGTCTAAGACCAAGTCTGAAACCAGTCTAAGACCAAGTCTGAAACCAGTCTAAGACCTAGTCTGAAACCAGTCTAAAGCGAGTTCTTGAACCCAGTCAGAACCAGCCTGTACCCTCCGACGGCCCGTGAAGACACGCTGCAGCCCGAGCAGGTCGGATCACAATAGATCTTTAAAATATACAAACTGAGGAGAAAGTTTTTCGGTTTTTAGAAGAATCAGCGCTGACCTTTCAGACACCCAGGAGGCGGTTTGACCAGCTGACCTCAGCTGTGTGAAGGTTATTCCCACAAGCCTCGGCGCCTTCGACCCGTCTGGATGAAACGGTCCAGCTCCAGCACCACAGCTCGGGTTTTAATTCACTTTTAGGTGGTAGAACTTGTGCAGCTTGTGGTGGGCGGCAGAACCCACAAACCAAAGGCAGCTTTCAGTAAAGTGAGTGTTGCTGAAGGAAAGTGTGGAGAAGAAGAATCCATAAATAAAATAAAACTTCTCAGCTCCAACGTTTCTCCTGCAATCGTGCTGATTTCAGACTTTGAATTGGAATCGTCGGCCGTCAGATTAAACCCGATCACCTGAACAAACACCTGCAGCGGTTATTTTATTAAAACAGAACAAGTCTCTGCTGATGTACTGAGCAGCCGTTTGTCAGGACTGTTGTTGTGCTCATTGATCTCCTGCTGCAGCCGAGCCTCCATCATTATGTTAATGACGGAGGCTCAGCACCAGCAGCACCAACAGCACCAACAGCACCAACAGCACCAACAGCACCAGCAGCACCAACAGCACCAACAGCACCAACAGCACCAACAGCAGCAACACTAAAGGAGCATTCTGCTGGTTTCTGCCCGCCGGGCTTCCAGTACCGGGTCTGTGTGGCTCACCACCGCCACAGAGCCACTGGAAGGAGGACAAGGCAGCGCGATGGGTCTACAGCTTCAGCTAAAAGACAGTCCAGAACCAGTCCCAAAACAGTCCAGAACCAGTCCAGAACCAGTCCAGAACAAGTCCCAAAACAGTCCAGAACCAGTCCAAAAACGGTCCAGAACCAGTCCAGAACCAGTCCAAAAACAGTCCAGAACCAGTCCAGAACCAGTCCCAAAAC